CATTTTAAAGGAAGAGAAGTTTAATTTCACTCATGGTTTCAGGGGATTAAGTCCATACTTAGCTGGTTCCAAGGCAGGGACATCATGACGAAGGGCCTAGCAGAATAAAGATGCTTAGTTCACGGTAAATGAAAAGCAGATCCGGGGAAACAGCACAGAAGAGAAAACGGTGAGGGCCCAGATATGGTGCCTGAGGTCATGCCTCCATGACCCACCCAGAGACATCTATAAATGTGCTTTACTAATCTCCTGGAAGGCTCCCAGGCCAATCAGATTCATACAATCAAGCTTAACCACAATATCCTACTTCTTGTCAACTTGCCATGACTCCTTAAGAACCACACTTACTTTCCAAATAAATCTAATAACGAATGAATAAATCTTTCTAACATGTTACAACTAACCTACATACAACTGAGAACATAATCATCCCTTCCCCAAAGTCTCAAGAGTTCCATCATTTTTGAAAAGGCCAAGTCCAAGCATCTTCTGAGACTCTAGGCAAACTCTTAGTTATAAACTTCTGTAAAAATCAAAAGTTACATAATTCCATGGTACAATAGCACAGGGTACATATTTCCAATCCAAAAGGGAGGAATAAGAAGATAAAAAAGAGTAGGACTAAAACAAAACCAAAACCCAGCAAGAAAAAATTACATCCTATACCTCCATGTCTGACATGGGTACATGTCAGGGTACATGGTGGTAAGATACGAGTTCCAAAGGGTGTGGGTAACCCCAGCCCTATGGCCTACCTGGTTGTAGCCTATATAGTACCTCTCTTAAGCTAGCCATGCTCAAGATTTACACTTTCCTCAGCAAATATTCCACATTTGTAGCGTGTTCAACTTTCTGGGGGTCTTAACAGTACCTTTGGCTTCATCCCCATAGCTTCACACACTGTCCTCTCAGTGTTTCCTTACCCCTTCACCTGGGCCAGTGGGGGTGAAGTTATGGTACATGTGCTGCAGTGGACTGTCTGTATCTTTGAAACCCCACAACTCTTGCATTTTTGCATGTGGTAAAACCAGCATCACATGCACACTGCCAAGGTCTGGTGTCTGTGTAATCAGTACCTGGGCTTCCTGGACCATGGCTGCCATGACTACTGAGTGACCAGATGGTTAAGCAGAGTGCAATGGATCTTGTGGATCTAGTTCCCTAGGTGGCCCTTCTTGAGGTGCAGTCCCAGGAACTCTCTTCTCAAATGAAAGACTGACACTTTTGCACACTTCAGCCTTTTGCTGATTTCTGAGATGCCCTCAGGCACCTTGCTTCTTGGTCCTATACAAAGTACTTGGATTCTTTTTAATAATACTAATCTCTTTAGCAACCACATCTCCTTTGGCCCCAACTTTACCCATGCTTCCTTTTAAGCCAAAATTTAAGGTGTTTCAAAATTTTCTGCTCTACTTTTTGCCTCTTACTCTCACTGTAAATCTTGTAAAATGGGATGTACTGAAATTTCCTCTTCCAGATCAATCAGTCCACTGCCCCTAACTGGCAAATTGTAGGTAACTTTTGACAGCGTATAACACATGTGGCCTCTAGTCAAACTGCCAGTGGAAACCCAGTTCCCAACTGAAACCTCTGAGCCTAGCTTTTACTGTCTATATTCCTATCAGCTTATGATCTTCTGAGATCTGACCAGAATCATCTATCAGGCTGTTTACAGTGTTCTAAGGCATATACCCCACATCTCCAAACCTTTCCACACTCTTACTGCAAACCAGTCCCACCCAAAGGCTTTAAAAATCACACGGTCAGGCATAGTCACAGCAATGACCCCACTCTTGGTGCCAGTTTTGTATATTATTCACTTATGTACATACAGATGGACCACAACCCTCAACACCCACATCATAAAGACTAAGCTTAATTTGGCTCATGGTTCTAGGGAATCCAGTTCATGTTCATCTGGCTCCAAGGCAGATACATCACAGTGCAAGGGTGTGGTAGGAGAAAGATGCTTAGTTCATAGCAGACAGGAAGCAGAACAGAAGAACAGTGACAGACAGAAAGGGAAAAGGGACCAGGTATAGTACCAAAGGTTACACCTTTATGACCCACCCAGAAGTTGCTTTACTAATTCCCTCAATGGCTTCCAAGGTTCAGTGACACTTAACCATCACAAATATAAAAGCAGATCTTCTACAAAATTGTGTAAGTATTGTCTACATACAAAAATTAAAGCTATATTGTCTGTCAAGTAGTGATTTTCCCCAAATGGACAGGAGATTTCAAAAAGGGCTTGCTCTTACACAAAAGGGAAATACATAGCCCAAACCCAATTTGTAACAGTTTCTCAACTTCCTACTCAGATTACTATTCCTCAATTTATTTTATAACTTACTATCTATATTTTTCTTGGTATTTTTCTTTTCCTTTCCTTTTCATATTTTACTACTGAATTCTTTGGTAGGTCTTTACAGAGACAGAAAGATGCCAAGTGCTAGGATCCAGGGCACGTGTTTGTCCAATGATTCCTGGATATAGCATCCTTGAGGATTGCAGGACAGGGACAAGAAAGCTTTGAGATTAGCTAGTCACAGATTCATAACAATAATCTCCCCATCTGACTCCATGATTAAATTCAATCCAGTACCAGTAAATTCCAGTACAAAGTATTAAATAAGGTAGGGATGAGAAACAGTCATTTTGATAGGGACTACATCTAAGGACCGGAGGGCAGTATTTAGCCAAGTGGCAGCCTGTATACATTAAAAATCTTAAGTCAAACTGCCATAAATTGCAAACGTATACAGCACATGGGACAAGGGTAAAAGAAGACAAAAATGGGAGGGGGGCACTATAAGCAGAAAAACAAAAGCTAACAAAAATGTTAATAGGTTTTTGCCTGGTCTGTAATAAGGGCTTGTAGTTTACTCTCTTAGAACAAAAAGTGGTGTCCTCTACACAGCACATGCCGGGCACAGCTGTGAAGAGCAGGTACTGTACTGAAACAAGGCGGCGGCGGACGTGCACATGCAGAGGCGGAAGGCGCTTCCACTCCCACCCTCACCTCTGACTCAGTCCCCAGAACAGAGGCTGGCAGGCCTTCAACTCTCAAGAAACTCTGAAGTCTTCACAGGAATCTGAGCAGCCTAAGAACAAAAGCCTAAAGTTATCAACAGAGGGGGTTTCCATGCTGGCTGTGAAATTCAGCCAATAAAGCACCACTCCTGTGCTCTCAGCTTCAAATCACCTTTTCCGTTCCTAGTAAATGTGTTCACATTTGCATTAGTATTCTTACTACAAAAACTTCAAGGAGTCTAATGAATCTAACACAAAAGAAACAGACCAAAAGAAATTATTACAGATGAAAGGATATTACAGTAAAGGGAAGCAAAATTTTAAAAAGAACACAAAAACAACCAAAGAAAAATAGATTCTTCCAGAGATAAGAGAACATATTATACCTATGTATCAAGAGCAGGATATTATAAAGGAATTTGCACAGGAAGAGAAGTTTTTTTTCTTAAAAAAAAGCAACTTGTAATCCCAGCACCGAGGCAGGAGGATTGCTACGAGTTCAAAGCCAGCCTGGGCTACACAGTGAGTCCAAGGCCAGTGTGAACTACACAGCAAGACCCTGTCTCAGTAAAACCAAAGAATGAATGAATGAATGAGTCAATCAATGATAAAGCTAAGGAAATCACCACAAAGAAGTAGACCAAAAACCAGAACAGATAACTAATAGGAAAGAAAAGACAATTAAAGATCTAACGTCCAAGAAGTAGAAGAAATTCCAAAAAATGGAGGTGAAGAAATCAACAAAAGTATTCAAGAAAATTTTCAAGAATTGAAGAATAATAATTCAAAGAATCTTTAAAGCATCAATGAAAGTGGGTAAAAAAAGGCCCTTGAAAAAGCAGGTTATTATGAAATTTCAGAACCATGAGATAAAGGGAAGAGCCTAACAGTTTTCAGACAGTAAAGCTGGAAAGGAATAGAATGACTTTAATCTCATCAACAGCAATATCGGTCACCAGAAAGCTAGGGAGGCCAAGTAAAATTCTGTCGGGGAATTACTTCCAACTAGAATCCTATACCCAGTCAAACTACCAATCAAGTATGAGGGACATAAAAATATGTTTGCATATGCAAAGTATAAAGACATTAACCGTCATGTAAGCTTTCCCAGGAAACTATGGGGTGAACAACAGAAAAGAGAAGGACGAAAGCAAGAAAGGGAGAGACCTGGAATAGCGGAGACAGGAAGATAGCCATGAATCCGATGAAAGAAGCAACAGTTCAGATTGGAAGCTTAAAGATAAAACCCTACAGAACACGTAAAATGGCTGAAGTCCTGAAAAGAATGAGACAACTGGTGAAAGTAAACAGAAGGGAGACAATGAAACTTTCAGAAGCATGTGTAAAAAAAACCGAAAGAGCAAAAGGGAAGGAAAAACGATCCCGGTTTATCACACAGCTCAGCTGTGAAAGCACTTCTGTGATCATATCAATACTCACTAGTGATAAAATGGACAGTGGAGGATTTGGGGTTTAAAATGATAGAAGGGGAACAAAGGGAAGAAACAGCAAAGCCCACAACTCCTGTATAGGGCAGTCTACAGATAATGCCAGAAATTAAAAAAATCAAAGGTAGCAGTGCAGACAGGCTACTCGAAAAACAGAGCTAATCAGTGAAAAGTTGAAGGGCAGAGGAGAAAATGCAAGCCTCAGGCAGAAGGAAATTTGTGTACTGCTTTTCGTAGTAATCTTATAAAGTTCCTGATCTCTGAATATTAAGCATGTATAAAATTTTGCTGAACTATTAATAGAAATGAAAAACAAAAAGAAACAAACGGATTTATCAGAAAAAAGAAAATCTCCAGGACATTTTTTGTTTAAATGGCAAATTGCTTTGGACTTTAGTCCGTGTCAGACTATTTTCTTGTACCTAGACACACACCAATGAGCACATCACTTGAATGCGCGTGATACCCTGATGCAATACACTCTCAGCCCACTCCGCAGGGAGCTTCTCTAAGTCTTACCTCGAGCAGAGCTGCCGCAGGATCACCCTGTAGGCTCTTCCCCAGTTTGTCGACCTCATCCAACAGGAACACTGGGTTGTTGACTCCGACCGTCTTCAGGCCATTGATTATGCGGCCAGGCATGCTGCCGACGTAGGTGCGCCTATGGGAAGCGGGCAGCAAAGTCACAAGGGAAGGTCAGGAGGTGAGAGCAAAACCATTCACAAAGCAAGCTGTAGGACGGGACAGAAGTCATTTAGTTGGTGCTATAACATAGCAAAGAGGTTCCGTATGTTTAAAAGGTGCTAGGATACATCAAAAAGTTAAAGGATTCAGGTCTACTCAAGTAGGACTCTGGCGACACATCACCCAGGATACTGGAAGAACTGTATTTCCTCTGTGCCATTTAGGAAAGTGGAAAAACACCACAGTTATAGTTGTTACTCCTGAAGATCACAAAATGTCCAAATGGCCCTATGAATTTATTATTATTATTATTATTATTATTATTATTTT